CATAATTGGACCAATAACACTTGCAATGGCATATGCTGCCCCGAAGAGACCAGCGAACAAGCTCCGCTTCCTGAGCGGAGTCACGCGGGCGAGGACGATGAAGGAACCCCCGAAGACACCAGCCATACCCACGCCCTGGATGACTCTTCCGATGATCAGAACGACGGACACAGGCGCGAACCCACAGATGGCGCTGCCCGCAAGATAGATGATGACAGATACCAGAAATGTCCACTTGTTGTTTGCCAATGTATATGCCCGACCGAATGGAAGTTGCATCGCGACGGCCGTGATCTGCTCGCCCGTGCTGTACCAGGCGATATCATCGAAGCTATTGAACGCGCTTGTGATGGTCGGGATTGCCGTGGCGAGGACGGTTTGACTGACGGCAACGATAAAGACAGAGATGAATAGGGAGAAGATGATGAGTGCAAACTGAAGCCCAGATGGATATTGTGACTCGTCAAGATCCTCTCCCCAGCCACCAGGGCCGGCTTGTGTTTTCGAGGCATCTTTATCGGCATTGTCGATACTTCCAAGCTGTTCTGAAGAGGAGACGCCATTTTCGTATGGTAGTGCTACGGAAGAGGCTTCTTTCGAGCGATCGTGCAACTCGTACGAGCCAGATGACTTTGTAGAACGAGGCATGGCTGGACACTGCGGATAAGGAGGATCGAGACTAGAAGAATGAATGTGATTGGTCTGCAATAATCAACGAATCAAAGAGCAAAACTTGTCTTATGGACATGGAAGAATGCCTTTTAGAGAAGTCCTACAGATTTAACTGACTGCTGTCAAAATTGCATGACACGTACATCATCGATCTGTGGGCGGAAGATCCGATCGATCTCGGAAGCATGCACGGGAGGAGCTGCGGCTACCATTCCGCGACGGTTGCCGGACAGTGTTTGCATTACTAGAGAAACACTGTATACGGTCATTGCTCATCGTCGAATGGTCTACCTCAACAAGTTGAAGGTGGAGAGTTTGATGCCCAATAATGTTCAGATGTAGACGTTCGGACAGACGGATTACGTGGTGGGAGCTTTTCTTGTTGATCTTGTAAAATCCTGCTTACCGATTCATCAGAGATCCAGATAAATCTGTCATATGTTAAAGGCTCAAAAATTGTGATGTTCAACTCAGGCCAACTATTGCTCTATCATAATGGTACAACAATGCAGGCAAGAAGTCTTCTAATCTATCGAATAATCTCACAATGATTACTCAAATTTTGTCAAGATGGAAGTACATGGCGTCGTGAATTTGGAGAAGAGTGTTTCTATTGTCGATCTAAGAGCTACAAACCCGACACCACAATCTACTGGTCGTCTTCCAACCCAACCATTTTCAGAGAATCGATCCACAGTTTTTTCTCGCCTGCCTCGTCAAACGCCCAGGACTTGAAACCGTAACCTGCCCAATGCAGATCATCCGGGATAGGCTTGCTTACGCCGCAGTCCTCCATGTAGATTCCTCCGACACCATCAAACTCCTTGCCGACAGCTGCCAGTGTGTTCGTAGCTGCGCCTTGCTCGACGCTCTTCCAAATCTTCTTGATGTGTGGCATTTGAATCATCTTGTTCAGCATCACCTTACTGTGCTCTTCAGAAGAGTCCATGAGTCCACTGGTAAAGCCGCCCGGCTGGATGCTGATTGCGTGTAGACCCTTGGATCCATATCGCCGCTCCAGCTCGTTGCAGAACCAGATCTTGGCTGTGTTTGAGTGGGCATAGGACACGCCGGGCTCATAGCCCTTGCCGTTGGGGTTGGCGGTGTCGTAGTTGTTCTCGGGGAGCACCGTCGATGCTGTGTGTGAAGTGCTAGCCGTCGAAACAATACGAACGTTCACACCGTGCGTTGCTGCGGTGTTGAGAAGGAGCGGCTTGAGAAGTTGGAACAAGTAGAAATGTGCCACGTGGTTGACACCGAATTGCTGTTCGAAGCCTTCTTTCGTGAACCCGTGAGGTGTCGCCGCGATACCTGATGTCATCAGCATATGTTAGTGATGATGTCCCAAAGCCTCAAGTTCCCATGGCGCTGAAGAAATACATACCCGCATTGTTCATGAGGACGTCAAGTCTGTCGGTTTTGCTCAAGACAAACTCCGCACCGGCCTTGACACTTTCTAAGCTCTTGAGTTCCATCTCGACAACCTCAAGCTTGAAGAGAGCGTCCTCGCTTTGAAGCTTCTCCTTCACCTTCTGGCCTTTGACAGGATCGCGGGCCGTAAAGAAGACTCGCATGCCCGTCTTTGCCAAGGTGCGTACAAGCTCAAGACCAATGCCGTTGGTCCCTCCAGTTACCAATGCTACCTTGTGGCTCAGCTTGCCGACGAGGCCCTCATCTTGGATGATTTGGAAGGCCGTGGGGCGCGCATCGCCAGCGCCCTGAGGATTGGCATGAGCAGACGCATAACGGTTGGTAATTTGCGGAAGGTTAGGAGCGTAGTGCATGGTGATGATTGTGTGTAGAAAATGACTGGGAACAATGATATTATCGCCTGATCAGACAAAGCTTGAAAGCCAAGAAGTTTCAAGAAGGCAGGTTGACGTTTAGATATTAGCGTCTCGACTGGGACGGCATTCTACTCAAGTCCGAATTCAAGCACGATTTTAATGTTTACATACATTAGCAGGGGATTCTTATGGACACCGGGGAATGAGATGGGAATAGCATTCCCTTTGTGAAAGCGCACATCGAGATCTAGAGGCTGTGAAATCGTGATCTTCCATCGCAGATACCGATTGGTACAGTCAGTCATCAGCAGTTATTGGTGCTATGCAATAGGTAAATCGGGTAATTTGAGCATATTAATTACAGTTTACCCCCGTTCCGATTCACAGCTAAAGCGTTGTTCAGAGCATTCAGCACCGGTAAACACGCCCAAGTGCTCGGTGACTAGCGACTAGAGCGCCTAAGGTTTAGCCAGCTGATGGAAAGTTTCAGACGTCTGCTCGTTGTTCTACTGACTCGGGACGGGAAGGTCGGCGACAGCGAGGGCCGGCTTCTGCTGGAAGCAAATCACCAGGGGGTCTCTAGCTCTAACCAGCAGCCTGCTTCCGCTGTCCAGCGCTCATCATGGCTTCTGCGGCCGTACTGTCCACGCTTTGCGCGGCAACCGGCGAAAGGTCACCTTATTGTCTACCCAAACATTTTTACCGGCCTCCCCCAGATCAACCGATTCCACGCACTTGTTGGTCGCTTTCAAAGGTTCTCTACCGACACCAGGATTGTGAACGTTGATAAGCGACAATTCATAAAGAACATAGGTGTAGGACAAGCCGCTACTGAAGATTCGCCGCTTATGAACCACTATCCCGCGGTGGTATAGCAGCGCAGCAGAGGCCGGCACGTTGGGTGCCTCGCGGTAAAAGAGACCACAATCACCGACGAATGTCTTCGGTTTCAGTTCCATATATTGAAACTTCGTCATCATCATTCTCCGCCCCTAGCTCTCTAACCTATTTTCCCCATCACTCTGAGATACATACTTCAAAAAATCAACGATGCCACACGTCACGAAAACACCCCAGTCTGTGCAGGCCTACGTCAACTGTCACCTGCCACCAGCCAAGGGTGAAAAGTATCCAGTCCAATACATCGCTACAGTAGGCTTCCAGAGGGCGAAGTATGACAAGCAACTAGTCAACGTGACCGACAGTCGTACGTGTGAGGACGACTTCAAGCTTGACACCCACGGCTTTCAGTGGGTTGAGAGCACGATCCAAGAGAAGAAGTGGGACGGCGACTATCGATTTGGACTGCCCCCTCAACTGCAGAAAGATGTCCTAGATCTTCTGAAGCGACAGTAAGTGTAACGCCCCAGTGTACCTCCAGAACAGTCCTTGCTGAGGCCCAACATAGCACAGGGGCGACATACGTCCATCCCTTCGCTCCTCATGTGATTCGCCGTGACAGTCACCAAAAGATTGTCAACATTGAGGATGATGTCCCTGACGATGCAATGCTGAACATGCAACCGCCTGCAATGTTTGTCCACGTCGGTAAGCATACCTTGCGCCAATTCGAGGACACCTCAACTGACAGAGTCTAGATCAATCCTATGACGGGGCTCAAATCATCCTTGACAGACTTCCCGAAGCAGAGATGCTTCGTGCCAAGACACATAACCGTTGGGGTATTATCAATGTGTGGCAGCCTCTCAAGCCTGTCAACCGTGAGCCTCTCGCTGTCTGCGACGCCCGCAGTGTTGACGAGTCTGACCTTGTTCCCGTCACTACCCGCATTGTAATTGGAAAGCCCCCCAACACCATGAACAAGGACAATGAGCAGTGGCATATGAAGGCAAGCCCCAAGCATAAGTGGTACTATGCTAGCAATATGACGACAGACGAGGCGCTATTGATCAAGTGCTTCGACTCGAAGTTGGATGGAAGGGCGAGGCGGACACCGCACACCGCAATTCAAACCCCGAATGACTTCGGTCCACCTCGTGAGAGCATTGAGATCAGATGTCTTGTTTTCTGGGAGGACCAGGAAAAGGAATAGCTTGTTCAAGACGTATTACATTCTCTTAGAACTATGAAACAGAATGAAATTGAGCCCTAGTTCATTTGATGAATGACCTTCCATTGGCGGGTGATGCTGTGATGCAAGACTGTGGCCCTGAGCTCACAACGAACTCGAGCCTGTATTGGTAACCCGTGAAAATGGCATCATACTCAAGGAATGTGTAAATGAAACAAGATGCTCAAATTTAATGACATTCGCATAACGAAAAAACTTGACTTCCTCAGCCATGTGCATCACAAACGTAAAGATTGTATGGATATCACAGAACACCAAGGCATCTTCACATAAATCGCTACTAAACCAAGGACAAGGTCGCAGACCCGAACCGCGTAGCCTCTGGATTCCGCCCACACTTTGGCTTGATGCAACCCAACCGCTATAGATGCCAAATTGCAGTAATTGTATGGGATGCTTATGATGACGAACATGCATTTATTTCTAACCAGACTGTGCAATTCTGCTTTTTACCATGCCTGCACAGGCGTGCCGTATACCGCCATGTTGCAGACCTTGCCAACATCCGCGTCTCTCTTTCCCTCAACAACATCAACGAGCGCCTTGCCACCACCAGCGGGATCACCAGCACCCATTTTCCTCATCGCCTCCGGGTTGCCCTCTCCAATATCCGTCGCAAAGAAACCAGGGGCAACACACCAGACCTTTACCCCATCGTTCGTCAACATCCTCACCCACTCGAGCATGACCATGTTCAACCCAGCCTTCGCAGCTCTGTAGGAGATGGTGCCAACCGGCTTGGGCGCACCAGCAGGGGGCACCTTGTATGTGAAATGGGAGGAGTCCGCAGCGTTGGCCAAAGACGACACGCCGCTGGTGTTGAAGATGAGTCTGGGGTCAGAAGACCTCAGCAGCAGCGGCAGGAAAGTGGTCGTAATGACATGAGGCCCAGTGACGTTGATGTCCCATGACTTGTTGTAAGCCTCCCGAGCAGTCATGTTCCCGCGCTCGATTTGCTGGTCAAGCATCACACCTAAACAGCACAGGGAGTTCAGCCAAAGTTCAACGCGTAATGACATGGAGGAGATGTGACTTGCCAGCATTGTTGATGAGCACATCGACTCTATCGCACTTGCTCTCGACAGTTTCATATGCCTTCTGGATGGACTCATCGCTCTCGACATCGAGCTGCAGGGGCTCGACGGTGCTGAGGGAAGAAACCTCCTTTCGCGCCGTGTCTGCGGCCTCCTGTCCCTTGGCGAAGTCGCGACTCCCCAAGAAGATGTGGTATTTTTTGTCAGAGCCGAGGAGTGTCTTCACAGCTTGGTAGCCAAGGCCCTTGTTGGCGCCTGTGATGACGACGACCTTGTGATCAGCGATGGCGGGCATTTTTGGAGACAATTTGGGGTATTGTAAGATGTAGGTTCTTTGGGCGTGAAATCTCCAAGAGAGGCTAGGGAGCTTGCGAAGAAAAGATGATGATGAAAGAAGCATCTTAGACACCATGCTATGATGACGGTCTTTGGCCTAAACTATATAGGAGTGTTTGATTTGGTCTTGTGTCGTGTTCATCGGTAATGCCTGGCCGGCGAACCCTGGGCTGCGATCCAAGCTGAGTCCGCGAAGCACGCTGAAGGCAGGCGGGGCTTGTGGGACAGAAAAGTTTCAATGGTGATGAAACGCTCTGCACTGTACAGTGTCCCACAACGAGGCCCGGTAAACAGTAAACTTTAGCGGAAACACATCCCCGATACCACTACTAAGAGCTTGATGAAAACCACCCAGTGGCTCATCCCGCCTACCGGAATATTGTTCTCGATCAAAGTACTTATCGCAGACATTGGCTGTCTTTCATACGCGAGGACCGCGTGTAAACCTACCATTTCGGACAGACATTCTGCCGTCGTGGACGTTCTTGATTCAATCAACCAAATCGCCAGAATGGGCTCCAATGAACAACCCAACCGCCTGCTGGCGTACAACATTTACGTCTACAGGAAGCCAGACATGGATGAGCAAAGCCATCACCATCACATAGAGCATGTCAACAGCCCGATCATCACTTCTCTTCTCAAGAAGTACGGCGCAGTTTCTTACAGCGTGGTAAGGTGCTTACGAATGTGACCCCGGGCTCCACAAACTGACCAGCTACGCCCTAGACACACAACGACTCTACTTCCAAAGCGGCTTTCAAGCGCCTGTTCCCTGATGCGCCAGAAGCCATGCTGCTGGACTACGACAGTGTAATCTCGATGATTGTCCCGAACATTGAGTGCATTGAGAAAATGCGCGAAGACCCCGATTTCATGAAAAGGTTTATCCCGGATCATTTCAACTTTGCTGACATGAGCCGAAGCAGGTAGGAAGTTTCTACGTCAATAGCTTTGTTCTTGAGCTGACTTGGGACAGGTGTATCGTTGGTTGGGTGGAAAACTACAACTTCCAGAAGGAAGTGTGATGTCTGTTCAGTATTTCCGTAGTCTATTTGAACAAAATTTACAAAACCTTGCTCAAATCCTAGTCGCATCCTCATCCCGTTCATCTGTCGTTTGACGAGCATTGAATTTCATGTAAAGACGATCTGGTGCTCTGCCAATAACGGCAAACATAGCGCCCTAGGTTCGTTCTAGGCGCTGGAGCACTGCTGTTCGCCTGAAAGCCCACTTTGCTTCGGCTTCACGAAGCCTGGTCAAGACCCCGACATCTGGACTCTTTGACCATCGTCATGGTTTGGATTCAATTGACAGGAAATTCGAAAATGCTACATTCAAGATCCATCCTAAATGATGCGGATCTATGATGTGGTTGATGCCAAACTTCAACACTCGTCGGCTTCTTTGGGGGACTCAGCACTCCGCTCAAGTGTCCTCATCCCTGCTCTCAACCTCACTTACACTGCTTCGGCATCCAGTCACCGACCGAACCAGTCGAAACGCCATACAGCTGCTACACCGGAGAACGCTAGGGGACAAGGTTCAAAGCCAGCGACAAGCAAATCGAGGCATCCGTGGCCTGAGCATGATAATAAAAGAGGCTTTCTTCACCAGCCAGATTTATTATCTCCCGTCAATCACCAACAACCGCAAGGTTTCGCGACCTAGTGTTACCATTTGAGATTACTCAGTCCTAGCTCTCTGTTTCCAGCGCCCCAGCGCCCCCAACCAGACCACAATGCCTACCCTTGAACTGAACTATGCCACGAAGGACGAGCTTGCCTTCCTGGACACCGATATCCAAAGAAAGCTCACAGTTTCCGGCGACACCGTCGAGTACAAAGCCACTGCAGAAGTTGACAAGGAAAAGGAGGCCGAAGAGCGCGCCAAGCTCGATGCCATTGACAACCATAATGTGTCTGCTTACACGGTGACGCTCAACTACCGCCTCGACCCCAGAAAGGGCGGAGACGAGATGATTTGGGGCGGCACCTTCGCGCAGATGCGACGCAAGTACGACCCCCGCGAGGTCGTCATCCAAAATGCCAGAGGAAAGGAGAGCGAGTTCAGTCTCGATAAGACTGGGTTCCAGTTCGAACATTTTCCTACTTCATACAAAGACTTCCCCTGGAGCCCCATCGACGAGCACCTCAACAAGGTGTACAATGCGGAGTGTGAGGAGTTCATGAGAAAGATGTAAGTCGGCCCGGGCGACATTTTCCCCTGTGCAGCTTCGCTAATCTTCATACAGCACCGGAGCTTCTGACGTCCGCTTGATCTCCCACATCATCCGTCAACGTCAATGGGAAAAGACGGATCCCGAAGAAGAGGCCAAGAAGCCCGACATGGCCATGACTGATGGAGGTCTTCTGTCCGCAAGATTTGTGCACATTGATCAGTCTGATCTCGGCGCTATCCGCCGCCTGTACGACGACATGCCCCCTGGTGAGGGCGCCAAGCACGACGGCAAGCACCGCTGGGCCATCATCAACCTGTGGAGGCCCTGGGAGCAGGTCCACCGTGAGCCCCTGGCGCTCTGCGACGCCAGGTCTGTGCGAGACGACGAGCTGCACGACACCATGCACTGCGTTCCCTTTCAGTGGCCGCGAAAGCCGACTGAGAACCACATGTGGCAGATTGCGCCGCCTGAGAGCTCAACTCAGCACAAATGGTGGTTCAGAAGTGGTATGACCAGAGACGATGTCATCCTGATCAAGATCTTCGATTCGAAGAAGGACGGAAGAGCACGCCGCACACCGCACAGTGCCTTCCCTACCCCTGATGACATCGGCCCTGCTCGTCGCAGTATCGAGACTAGGTTCTTCGTCTTCTGGGAGGACGAGAGCTGCGAATAAGTGCACGATACTGGACAGAATTTTGAGGTTGTGAATATGTTGCATACATAGCTTAGGTAGATCCAAATTGAGTCAGTGTTACAGATCATCTACTTGACAACCAAGTGAATTTACTCTTGAATTCTCCTATGCACTATTTGTGTTATTGTTCGCATGTATCGCTCGGTTGAGGGTGAGCGTTCGAGTCTTGCAAGAAGATGGGCCTTAGCGACAGATTTGCGTCGAACTAGATACTACGGAGAAATCTACTCCGAACAGATGATGTAAAGCCATGCATAATTAAAGTACTTCGGTAGATGCGACAAGAGACTATCAACATTGCCTGCCGTTCACAGGCTGGCACAGCAAGAATGGGAGTTGACAGATGGTCTAGTGGCTCGTGACTGCGTACTAACCTATTCGACGTACGACTACACTGGAAGGCAACTAAAAGAGAAGATTCGATCGCCTAAGACAGCAGGTTGAATTGAAAATAGGTTGATGGTCTTCAATGTATGGGTAGCTAACTCCTGTGTCTATGGACTTGCCATAACCAATCTAGAACGTCCAAATTGGTTCCATTGTTACAGGCTTGACGCCCCTGCCACCTCATAAATGATACAGTGAAGGCAACTAAGAAGGCGCCCACTTGCTCCTGGAACGAATCTCCTTCCCATACTTGAAAAAGAGAAGCGGGATGGGCGCCAGAACAACGCCGAAAAGGCCCAAAAACGACGTTGCTCGTGCGACACCGATAGAACTGTAAAGAGAGGTCCTGCATCGTGTTAACGTTATTGCCCTTGAAGCGGCAAGAGGGTGACTTACGCGAAGACCGGAAAGCCGGACGCAAAAAGCGACCGCATGAAAGTGTTTGCCGAGATTGCAGAGTTGGAGAATGGCCCGTAGCAATCGACTATGTAGTTCATTCCTTGCATGTTGATAAGAATGATGCCCATGCCGATTGGCACACCTGCAATAATCTGCTGAGTTGCGCTCGTCTCCGGCGAGCTTGTGGCGGCGAACCAGAACATTCCGACCGGCAGGCAGACGGAGCCAAGCATCATTAGGAGAAGCCTGTTCTCCTGTGGTCTATCGGCCTTAGGGTCCGGGGACAGGTTTGTGTTGACCGTGAGGATGATGAGAGCACCCCCGATGATGGTTCCAAGCAGGATGGAAAGGAGTGGAAGACCAGCCGAGGTAGAGTCCCAGTGTCGCTCGTTAGCAAAGGACATCGGATAGGCAAGGAAGAAGATATACATGAGGCCTAATGAGGGATTAGCCATCGTGACAGGCAACCGAATTCGAGATCGTGAATGGTAGCTTACCGAACACTACGGAGATGTAGGTAGACATCAGAAGAAGAATGGGTTCCAGGACAAGCATCTTCGCGGGCCGAGAAAGACAGCTCTCTACAACATCCTTGATATTCCTATCCTGTTCCTCTGATCTTGCCCTGAGCGCCCAGTTGCGTGTCATATGACGCATGCGTCTTGCCCTCTTAGCCAAGAGAACTGGCGAATAGGTCTCGGTCAAGAGAGGGTATGTGATCGCTGCAATAGCAAGAGTAACGATGGCGGTGAAGTTAAATATCCAACGCCAGCCTAAAGAGCTCTGGACAATGACAGAACCAGTCATTGGTCCAATCACTGGTCCAATCATCAGAAAGGTTCCAGTACATGGCATAGCGAAACCTCTTTGCTTTGGTGTCCAGATGTCAGCCAGAGTGCCGCTCAAGATCGCAGAAGGTGCTGCACCAAACACTCCCTGGAGAAAGCGCGCCACGAATATGGTGAACAGGCTCTGGGCGTTGGCTGCAGGAAGCTGTAGTAGAGCAAAGGAGACATAGCCAATTACTAGAGGACCCTTTCGCCCGTAGCGCTCAGATAGTGGCCTGGCCTCTGGTCAGTACTAAACAGAAAATCAGAGCATGAGGCCATTACTCACCCAAAGATGATTGGGCCAACAGCAAACCCGAGCATGAACAGCGATGTCCCGCCAAACACCATAGTCTGAACGGTAGTGTCGAACTCGTTTGCGGTCACTGCTGCCGCAGCGCTGAAGACGGATGACGAGAAGGTCGTCGACAACACATACAGGGCAAGCACCCATGTGACGAGCCACTTGCGCGGCTTGGGCAGATTCTGGGCATTGCCTTTGTCGTCGGGACCATTCCAGTCCACGATGAAATCATCTCCTTGGATCTTCTCGAAGACGCGAGTTTCAAACTCAGCTTCCTCTTCGAGATCGAGAACATCTGCAAGAATAGGCTCTTGGGTCGACGGCATCTTGACTGCAGTAGAAAACAATTCTGTATAGTGAAGCGGAGGCAGGAAGATTGTGAAGAGTAAAACAATACCCCCTGCTCAGAACGAAGGGCGGCTTAAGTCAAGCTACGGCAAGACCTACTGCATGTGATGCGCCAGATGCGGTATCAATCAGAGGTGATCGGAAACTGCCTTCTGGGGTTTTCGCCGAAGCGGTAGTTCTTCAAGGTTATGCTTCACAAGAAAGTCTCACTGGCTATGGTTGATGACACCATTGCTAGGCGCTCACTATGTTCTGTGATGGGCAACAGCGATGTCCCTACTAGGCTGGGGTTGCCGCCGTCCATGCTCAGATTTGGTCAAGAAACTCCCGCTAACCGCAAGTCCAGGAGTCCTCCACTTCTCCTCGGGAACGTTCACATGGCAGACTTCGGCGAATGGTCACCGTCGCCTCGGGAAGCCTTTCATCCCATCGCAAGTGGCCAAGAGGTTTCCGAGTGTTGGAGTAGGTAAGCAATTGGGCAGGAAAGACTCTCGGTAACTAGTTGCCGAGCGACAAATGCTTGCCCGTGATCCAAGTTGCAGCAAGCCCATAGCAAGAACCTTATTCCGTCGTGTTGCTAAGTCAGTAGATGCTTTGGATTGGAAATAAGTTTGCTATCGTGCTATTGGCCAAATCAACTCATGTGTGCCTGAAAGGGGCACTGTTTGAAACTTCAGCCAATGGTCCTACGCAGGTCTCCAAGTAATGGATTCCCAATCTAAATAGCAGCCTGCCAAGCATGGTCGCAATGGCATCTGTCTGTTTTACCACTGACGAGTGTGTACTCTCACATAGTCTGCTCACCATCACAGTTACCAGGACTAGGTGTCTTTGAAGGAATCTCATCATCAGGTATATCTTCGGGGACGCAAGGACTTCAATAGAAAACCAACATGAACACAATCCTGGAAGGCATGACCACCTGAGGTACCTAAAAGCTACTATTGACCTAGTCAACCCACTGCAACGAAGCCGGAGGTTGAATACAATGTTGAATCTTCTGTTTTGATCCAAATCTTAGTGTTAGGCTGTCTAAACTGGTACGTAGTAGTACACAACTGAAGACCTGAACTGTGTCTCCTCGACTACCCCTTCCTTCGTGATACAACCGCCAAAGTCTTGTTGGTACGTTGGAGCTTTCCACCGAACGACTTTCTGGATAACTAGAGCACCGAGAATAAATAGCAACGCCGCTCCGAAAATTACTTCTGTTGTGTTCTTCCAAGGATACTCGTACCATCGCAAGGACACCACATACCGCCATAGCCCATCGCTTTCGACATTCAAGTATGAGCCTAACGAGGAGGTCAGTTGTAATATCAAGGCTGTCTTCCCTTTTGAACACATACCTCGCTGCGTAAGAAGCACATTGTCCAAGACGTGTGAAACACCGCCGTAGATGAGTACATCCTGTTTCAAAACTCGCGCATGATTGACGAAGAGGCGGTCCGCGGAGTCACGGCTCAGTTTTAGCTTAAGTCCGCTCATGGCTGTTGCCTCCTCACTAGTATCGCCAAAGTTCAGGTGGTACAAAACACGGTTCGGGATTACGTGGTTGTTGATGGTAGTCCTGAGGTCCTCTGGGGCGAGGGATTTAAGGTGAAATTTATATTTCTCCATCGCTTCATTGCTTGGCAACAAAATCGTCGTGTCTCGGAGGGACTCCAAAAGCTCGCTCATTTGAGCCTTTTTGACGAGGCTCCAGAACTTTTCAAGACTTCCCAAGTTTGTCGTTTCTGACAGATTGTGCGGAAGGACGAGGTTCTCGTTGATGGTGTGCAAGACGCCCCTATCGTAGTAGATATCGGCTTCGACAACGGGCAAAACCTTCTGAATCCCACATTCCACCCGAAATGGATTTTCATTGTCGGCAGCCGTCAGCTTGACCATGGCACCGTCCGAAACGTTTGTAAGAACTGGCGGCCGGAGGACGGAATGAATCAGCTGCGTCTCCATTCCCAATAAGGGATTCGTCGAAGTGTAGGAGCCCTCCAGGAAATGGTACTTCATGATCCCTCTTGCAAGCTCTGGATCGATCAAACTCAGATTCATGCCCCAGTTGGCGAGATATTCGAAAGCATCGTCGTTCATCGCTAGCAGTGTCGAGTTCTTGGCTGCTTCGAAAGTGTTCATCAGGTCTAGCTCCACGAGGAGGTCATGGAGCGTAGTAAGTGACCCATGACTAGCGAGGACATGTTTCAGCGACTCTCCGGCTACCAAGCAGGGGAGGATGGCAAGAGCTGAGAGGATTCGTGAATGCATTGATGACAGAGCCCGCATCGAATAACGAAAGATAACGCGAAGAGATTGGCCTCTGAATACCGATAGTGGAAGAAGATTGAATCTCGACCTGTAATAAGAGGAGTCTTGCTAAGTCGATCAGCGCTGTCTGGTCATTGCTACGATTAAGCTCATGGGGAAGGTAGAGGGTGGGCAGATTGCCGGAACGCACTGATCGGCATTTGTTTGCCGCCTTGACAACTGCCACAGCGCCCCATCTTCTTGTTCAATGTGCCACTTAACCACACTAATCCCTAAGGTAAGATGAGCGTGCACTCGGTAGCTTATTCCAATTTCCATCCCTTCATCGCCTGAACCACCAACTCCCCACGTGGCGAGCTAGTCTTGCTCGATGACTTCTGGAGCTTCGTTTCTTAGACCCGTCAACCATGCAGCTTATGACCCTTCTTTCGTGCGCTTTGCGCATATGGTCTCCTACCTGGTGCCAACGACCAGACCTTCTCCAGTTAGAGAATGGAAAAGAATCGTCGGTGGCCCGGCAGCCTGTCCGCTTCGAATTACATATCACCTCTGGGAAAGTGGACGTCATCGGTGCGGGCACAAGGGATGCCATTCTTGTCAATGGGACGTTCGTGGGTCCCACGCTTCGGCTTGAACAAGGCGATGAAGTCGAGTTCTTGGTTCGGAACTACCTTCGGGAAGACACGACGATGCACTTTCATGGCATCGCGCAACGGACGACACCTTGGGGTGACGGCGTTCCGGGGCTTACACAACGCCAAATCCACCCTGGGGCCTCTTATCTCTACCGATGGACGGCAGAGGAGGCCGGGACCTTCTTCTACCACGCCCACTCCAAAGGCCAGCTGATGGATGGTCTATATGGCGCAATCATTATAGATGCATCACTCAAATCTACAAGACCATTCCATCTCATCAGCCGTGATGCATCTGAGGAACAAGCTATGCTGGCGGCCGAATTGAGGAACCAGCCACTGCTCCTAGCCGACTGGAGCCAGTACAAGTTTGACGACTTTTACCACATCGAAACAGCGGCAAACTTCGACTTAGCTTGCACGGATGCCATCATTGTGAATGGGATGGGTTCTCAGTACTGCCTGGATCCGATCACGTTGGACAACATGACCAACCCCATTATCCTCAAGATGTTGAAAGACCTTGGCGAGGACCACATGACGGCAAAGGGCTGTGTGCCACCAATTCAGGCGCTGCAGGGAGACTACGATGTGGATGTTGGGAAGCTTCCGCCACAGGCTGTGAGAGAGTGCATTGGGGGAAGAAACCCCAAGGGCAACTTCACTTTCAGTGTCGATGAGGAAATGGGCTGGGCGGCACTGACTTTCGTCAATGTTGGCGGCCTCTACCCATTGCAAGTTTCTATCGACAACCACGAGCTTCATGTCTATGCTGTGGACGGGCAGTACATACACCCCGTGGTTACTGATCGCGTGTACGTCGGCAACGGAAACCGAGTGTCAGTGCTTGTAAAACTTGACCAGGAGCCTGCGCGGTACACTATCCGAATGGCCAATGACCTCCTCAACCAGATCCTCGGGGGCTTCGCAGAGATGGCGTATGGCGACGCTGCTCACCCACCGCGACACCAAAAGCCGAAGATGAATTACGCAGGCCAGCCGCTCATCGACCCAATCCGCTCATTCAAGCCAGAAGAAGGCCAGCCGTATCCTGGACGGCGACCAGCTGGACGACCTGACCGGACAGTCAAGCTGGTGTTGAGAAAGCCTGGTCGTCCTCACGGTGCGTACGAGTGGAGCCTCTCGGGGCATGAGCTGTACAACATGACGGCTGAAGAACTGGACCCGCCAATGCTCTTCCAAGGACCTAGCAAAGCACCTGGGAGCGAGCTGGTGGTCTTCTCGGAAGTTGGTGATTGGGTAGACATGATCTTGGAGACCGAGGGCCCTTTTGCTCAAAGTCATCCGATCCACAAGCATGGGAATAAGGTGTTTTTTCTTGGCTCTGGTATAGGGAGGTTTCCCTGGAGCAGCGTGGAAGACGCCGAGCGAAGCCTTCCGGTGGGGTCATTCAACTTCGAGAACCCGGCTCATCTCGACACTTTCACCACACCAGACATTGCCGGTAATGCACCCGCTGTCTGGACAGTCGTGAGATACCAGGTTGAAAATCCGGGTGCTTGGCTTCTGCACTGCCATGTGCAGACTCATCAGGCTGGAGGAATGGGTATCGTCTTGATGGACGGTATTGACCAGTTCCCGGAGGTACCGCTGCAATACAGCGAGTGGAACGGGTTCCCTCTGCCCACTTAGTAGAGCATCATCGTATGAATTGTTTCTCTAAAACACCAAAATTTGTATCTTTAAGTTGAGTAAGTATGTGGTATGCAGTCATCATCATCTGGAGTCCAAGAGATGTTTTCCCTTGAGCCTGGTGATTGCCTCTCTTACTGCAGTTGTATCGCAGTATTGTCATTGTTTCCAACTGGCTAGAACTTCTTGACCAGAGCAGCACGAGATGGGTTTGGACTTGAACTGTCTCTGTACTTGCAATTAATTTATGCAGTGGTTTACTCTAACACACAGGCTGTGGTATTTTACTTCCTTGGCTTGGGGGCAGAGTTCCACGGAAGCCCACCATCAATAGGCTCGTTCCGAACCCTCTGCGCAATCAGATCCTCCCACTCCTCTCTAGCCAAAGTTGGGATACCAAGGGCCTTGTTACCCTCTCCGTCCCAGTC